TATTTCATGTATCCTAAAATACCTAAATATACCTCGTTTACTGGTCAATAAAGACTATTTAAAACGAAATAAATATCCCTACAGATATATCAATCAATAAAATTACGCTTTATTTTATTAGGAAAATACTTATTAACAAAGCTATTTAAAAAACGCAATGAAATAATATAATATTAAAGTTGTGATAACACATGTCTATACAAGGTATAGCATTAATAAATTATTGATTATTGTCTATATGATAATTAAGGATGTCTTGGCCCAAAATATAACGATTTAAACTAAAATACGTAGATAAAATATTCTTTAAACTAATGTGCGAGGTCGCGCGTGAAACACATTTACAAAGGATATGATATGATTAGCACCTCAATATTTACTGGGACGTGAAGGTATTAGCATTATTCTTACCAGAAAATGATTTGGATTTAGGTAAAATTTTAGAAGAATCGGATGGGCCTTTCGATCGTGATGGAGTCACTTTAAATGGTGATTCTTGGAGAAAATAAAAGAGCAAGAAAAATTAAACAATTTATTAAAGATAAATAATATATAAATAGACACAATAAATAACAAAGGGTCTTACCAAGGGCTAAACATCTAAAGGCAACGAGGGCACGCCACGTCACTTCTTCTATTGGGATGCGAAACGACGATGAGACTCAAACTAAGAGTACCGGATTTGACTCCGGCAGAGAGTGTGTCCTTATTGTTTGTTTACCCAGTCGATTTTTATATTAATCGATTAAGGACAGTACGTGTCTAGTCTAATGTTATATTTACTTTTATTAAGGACGTACTTAATAATTGCATCTAATGTTTATCAAAATATTATATAAAATATTATGCTGAATTATTTAATTTAACGAATGATGTAATTATAGAAAATTTATATTTTATATACGTATAAGGTGATATTTGTTTAGCGTGACAATATAGTATATTGTGTCATACGGGCAGAAAATGAGATTTAGCAGCCCACGGCTATTAGCTGCATGAGCGAGCGAAGCGAGGGCAGCTGATAGCTAAGGGCTGCTAAAGCGTTTTCTGCATGTGTGACATAATTGTTTTCGCCTACCAAAAAAAAACAAAGAAAAGGAAAATATATCGAAAATTCTTCGTCACTGAATGACTATTCATGTTCACTAATTAGGCATTCCAAACTGAATGGCTACCAGTGGGTTTTGACAGGTTGATATGGCAAAATTATGGCAAGCCTGTAGGCCTGGTGATTTGACAAGATCAATGAAATAGATAGTTACATAGATTGATCATCCATATTTTTCAAAATAAACATAAGCTTATGACTTGAAGTAAAAATGTAAGTAATTATTTTTTTTTAAATATCCAAAGTCTGAAAATTGGTTTTAAAACACATTTTTGCTGAACTGATTCAAATTAATAAATATTTGCCAGGCAATATGGCCGCTCGCAAACGACCAGCTTTGAGCAATCTATATAACTATATATGTATCAGTGACCCTATTAATGACAACATGCCAACAGGGTTGCCATATCTAAACTGTCAGTCCCCACTGGTAGCCATTTGGACAGGTCGTTGGAATGCCTATGAAGACGAAGGAGACGAATCGGCATACTCAAAATATGGTCCCAAAAAATGCATGCTAATTGAGCTATAATTAACCGCATGGGCGCTGGTACTGCATACGGTGTTAAAAATATATGGTTTCTTATGGGAATTATACATAATTTGGTCAAAATAATAAAAATAAACTTGTTTATAGCTGAATAAAGCACCGAACATACTGTTGTATTTATTTCTAAATAAGTTTTGCATGTTTTAATTGATAAATTATTTAATTTTATCTATATAAAATTCAAATTAGGTATGCATGACCAAATTCGAAAAGGTTTCTCAAATGCAGAGATTTGATAAGTACAATTTTGTGGCAATTTTTTTTTAATTGAACTAATAAATGGTTTTTAGAGTAAAATAAAACACAGTTAACAGATTTTTTATTGTTGTAATACAAGTATAAAGGGAGATTTGGGAATGTATATGGTATTACCTCATCCTTTAATTTCAGCTTTGCCCTTTTTATTTTGCTAACATCAGTAAAAATAGTCTCATAATATTTGATAATATCTTCTAAAAAAGTATAGAATAGCATGATCTCTAGAAAGTGCTTTATCGGCACTAGGAACGATATATATGCTGACACTGTTATAAACGTTTAGTATCCTATAAAAAACCTTTACAATGACACAATTGGGGTCAAAAAAAAAAATAACGGTAGTAACTCTTCATCTAACATTAAAACTCTATAAAAAATAAATTTTCTTTTCTAGTAAAATTAAATTCATAATTATTATTGTTTGTAAGTCAGCATCTATAACTGTTATTAACAGCTCGGCAGGCGTCTTGACGAGCAAACCACAAAGTCTGTGAAAGGTTTTGCAACTTTAATACACAATTTCTCGTCAAAATAGTACATCTATGTGGTGAAGCGATAAAAAAGTTATACAGCTCCTGGAGCAATACAAAAAAAAGAAACAGCCTCCTTGCATGACTCAGCTGCACACGAGCATACTAGGTTTAAGGAATGCTCCGAGGACTAAACTGTTTGATACAAGCTTGAACTCCAGAGTAAATGCCTGACATATTCGAGGCGTTATCATTATGATTGACCTCTACAATTGGAAATGTCCAAATTAAATTTTTCAAAAAGGCCCAATACTGTGTTTACAATCTCTTCTGCTTTGTGACCAACATTTAGCACAAAACAAATAAATCTCTCAATCGGCATGACATAAATAGCAATATATCTAATTACGAAGGTAAGTTGGTCAACATGTGAAATGTCCGGCGTGGAGTCTAATAAAATGCCAAAGTATTTTACTTCCTGAACTTCTTTCAAAATTATGTCCCTAACTTCTTCTGTCATAAGGGCGATAAGTTCTTCATTAGTAGTTTTCGAACCTTGGTCACCGTATTTACTTAAATGTTCGGCCATAAAAGGGTCGAATTCGGCTATAAATTTCAGAAGTTCAATGAAGTTTCCACTGTCAAGTTTATTTAAGTGTTCATCAGATCCTCGGAGAGCCAACCCTTGCACAGTTAAATATTTAACAGCTGCCACCACTCTCTTAAGTACCTCCCTCCAATAGTGAACTTCAAGTTCTAGAGCTTCGGTAAGTCTAACATCAACACGACCTTTCAAAAAAACTCCTAATTTTTAGTTTTTCTAAACTGTTTTTATGGTTAAAACTGTTTTCATGGTCTTTTACACGTTGATTAGCATTTTTACAGTCATTAAAACCGTGTGAAAATGCGCCTTTGTTATCCGACTCGTCAAATATCGTACACGGAACGCAGAAAACGGAACCTTTTGATGGTGAATAAACCATTCACGCTCTGTTTTTTTCTCCATTTTGAAGTTTTTTCGTAAACAAACTCTTATACAGAAAGCGAATTTTATCTGGATACGATCTTTTGGATTCATTAAAATCGAAGTCACTATTTGGTTTTACACTACTTTGGGTACAAATATAAACTCATAGTTCATCACTTAGATCCCATAAAGCCGGATCGGAACTGAAAAATTCTGCACTACCTCTACCACGTTCTACATAAACTCCGTCTTCAGCATCAGCAGATTTATTTTGAAGTTCTGGTACAAGATCGGGTTCAAAAGCAACTTCTTCAGCGTTGGAACTGTTAGAAGCGTCATGGGAAGCAGCCTGTACATTTTTACTGTTACCATCATTACTAATTTGACTTCGAACATTTCGCGAAAAAAAGTTGTTATTTTAGGAACTTTTTTAATGACTTTTTCATTTTTTCTCATCATTTTCTTCGCGCCTTTTTCTAAACTCTGCACCACTAGGTTTTGATTTAAAGCTCATTATTAAACACTCATGATTACTTTAACAATAATAAATACTTATTTCCAACAGAAAAGTAATGTCGTATGGACCACACTGTAAAAGTTGAATATTAAGATAACAGCAAATCAGCATTAGAGAACACGCGAACGAAGCACTGATTTAAAACAAAGCACTGGGGTGACTTGACTAGTGACAACGACCCACGACAAGTGGTTAACTAACTGCTGGTGAGGTCAGGTGACAGACTGAGACAAATTTGATTTCGATTTTTTTTTTATGATAGTGCGCCCCTTGGTGCCGTGGGCCCCTAGGCCCGGGCCTAGTGGTAAATCCATGCCTGCAGTTCTGCTTACCTGTACCCTTCTCGATTTAGAATATTACTCAGTTTTTGCAAGCAAAGTTGTGCTATCATTTTGTGTAAATATTCGTCTTTTTATAGTGTTAAAACTAAAACAATGGTATTCACAAGCAGACGTAGCTGTGTATACCATCCAGATGTTTTTTGTTATGTATATGGCGAAAACACTTGGAAAGAAAGTAGAAAAATTATTTCTGACTTTGTGAAAAAGGCTTATCTTGCCTATTTTGACGTTCCTTTGGGAGGCCAGGATAAATCTTGGACTCCACATGTCGTGTGTAAGACACGTGTTGAACATTTACGACAGTGAACAATTGGAAAGTGGAAGTGCATAGGGTTGCCTGTACCAATGGTTTGGAGGGAACCACGAAACCGTTATGATGACTGCTATTTTTGTCTCGTTAATATTAAAGGCATGAATAGGAAAAAAGACAAAAATGAACGTATCCAGATTCTGCAAGAAGACCTGTACTGCACTCGGAATAAATACCCATTCCATTATTTAGCGGTCTTCCTGAACTCCCGGAAGATGATACAGAAACATCAACGTCTGATGAAGTGCAAATAATTCAATCAAAAAACGACAGCGAATTTAAAACAGAGTTAATAACTCTTCAGCGTTTCAATCAACAAGAACTGAACGATCTCATAAGAGACCTAAAGCTCTTAAAGGAGCCTGCTGAATTACTTTCATCCAGATTAAAAGAAAATAACCTTCTTTATCTAGGTGTATTTATATTACATTTTATCATAAAAGAGATAAGGATCTACCGCCTTTTTTCACTCAGGAAGATAATAGTAATTATTGTAGTAGTTATTATAATTTGTTAAAACTCATAAATATTTATTTTAAATAATTTGAACAGTCTTAGAGCATATAATACATTTTAAGAATATCACAAATTATACAACACAGATATAGCAGCAAACAACTATCATTTATTAGGAAGATATGCTTCGAGAGTTTTTAAATGGTGATACAGTGAATCCTCAGGTGGACCCAACCCGACGAAAATCCAAGCTGTGAATGCCAGTAAAGATCTCCAAAGTGATAAGTGATTCCAAATATTTATGTCACGTCTTGATACCTGAAAATACAATAAAGTCTGTAGTACAATATCTTGTAAGATAGTAGGGATAAAAATTCTATAAAAAATGGTAGAAAACAAAAATACAAAATCGATCTGTGCGAAGTTTATCTACGGTAATAATTAATTCGTAAGATAAACCTTTATGAACGCATTATACAGGGTGTTTCCGAACTTGCCGTCCAAATTTGTAGGGGTGGTAGTTCGCATAATTTGAGACCGATTTGCAGATTTCATTTTCCCAAAATATTAAAAATAAAAATAATTAAAAATTAATTAAAAAATTTATACAGATACGGTCCTGTACAGCGACGTTACGCCTCGACTCGCGCGCGCTACGCTTAGAATCGATAAAATTGCAAATCGCATCTGTTTTTGAGTTGTAAATCCGGATGAGTAACCGATCAAGCGACCATTGCGCTACGCGCTCAGGGTAGGACCCGCTCTTTGATTTTTTTTATAATGGCTCTATTTTGTTTATTATAATTTTGGACTTAAAAGGGGCGATAATTTTTTTTTAATATGACTGGAAAGCACACAAAAAACTCTGCCGACCTGCAGCTCTAGCGAATTAGTTCCAGTTAAAGTCCCCACCTTTTACACAAAAATGATAATTCTGGTCAAAAAATAAAAAAATAGTTTTTATATTTTTTCCATACAATTGACTGGTGCAATTAGGTTTTTATTTCTTTTCAAATGAAACAAATTGTATCGATAATTAAGGATTAATTCATTGTTATCCATTGTCGTTTCTTGTTTTTATACCTTTTTGAGCATGTTTTTTTAATGATGACTATATTTTTTTTTATTTTATTAAGAACTACATGTCAAAACGAAAAACATGATTTCCTGAAGAACTTGGTCGATAATTTTTCACCGTAGAATTTCTTTAAAAAAAGTGTTTCTGACCGAAAAAAATTAATCTCTAAATTTTTCGAATTTATTTATTTAAATTAATTTTTGCTTATTTAAGACACGAAAAGGTATAATTTCATGAAAATTGAATTATTTTTGGAAAAAGGAAAAATAAAAAACGAAAATAAAAAATTCGAGCGAACTTTTGCATTTTTATCAAAAATTCTAAGGTTATGTTAAAAAGTGAAAATTGTAGATTATTGCTCGATCTACAACTTTTGTATTATACATTTTTGTTTTTGCCGTCAACTTTCGCCAGAAAACGCACTAATACAATTTTTCGCTCCTTTTCAATCCCCTAAAACCCCCCCCGGTTGAATTTATTTTTTTATTTATTATAAGCCCCTTTACCATTTACTCTTATTAAAGAAAGTCCTGTTAACAATAATATTATTTTTATTTTTTCATCTAAATAAGTCAATTCGACTGGTCTATACCCTAAAATGGGTGGAATGGGCTATGAATCCTTTTTTATTGGTTTTGTATTTGGCGAAATATTCCTTTAAAGTCCAGTCATATTAGGGGTTTCACTTCGAAAATGTAGATAGTCAGCTATAAACTTGTGTAAACCTTTATTTTGACACTCTAAAAATTGTCCGAAAACCTACTTATCACAGGGTATTCGCTACTACAGATATCTAAGGTCAAACAAATATTTAAAAAATACATTTTTGTGAGATGCGCCGAAAAAGCTGCTAAACTTCTAAAAATATATAAACTCAAATACTTACGTTTACTACTGGTTCCGTAGAATTTTCGTTATTAAAATCTTGATATGATAACCGGGAAAACTCATCATCCCAGATAAAGGTGGTAAGATGGATGATTAAACATGACATATAGATAAAGGCTATCAGACTATTTCGTTTTTGAACCCATAATTCTCGAAAAAAGTTTTTTTCTAAATGAGCCGTGTCTATCCTAAAATAAAGAACAAACTTCAGGATAAATTTTGGTTGCTTAGTGTTAATAGTTATATAAAATTGAGATTGTTAATCGCCATTTTAATTCACAAGTTCGTTACAGAACTTTTCCGTCGACCGTACTTTTCAAAAATAAAGATATCTTACTTTCAATTTTTATTTATTAAACGAAAAACAACAATTACTATTTTCTATTTATATTAACTTTGTTCACAGTTCAATTTTCCTCAGTGGTAGTTTTATTATTTTAAATATTAATATTAAAAATTGTGCAATTACTAAAATTAAATGAAGGAATTGATAAATGATTATCTGCTGTATAGCATTTTGATAATTTTAAGAAATTAACATAGCCCTCAGAAAGTCTAGATACCGCTTGGCATATACTGTCAATACAAAAAAATGACCCCATTCAAGCTTGTCGCCATGTTAGGTAAATTTATGTTTTGGCTACACTGATTTTTAGTTTGTGTGTTCTGTAATACGTGAACACCGATATTCTGCACTTTGTTATTAGTTATAAGTGAGTGAGACGCACAATTTCTAATTTCAAATTAAGAACAAAACTTTGACAAACCTATTTGATTTTCCTAGATCTGTTCAGACAGGACCGGTTTTATAAAATTTCTCGTTCTTGAAATGTAATTTTTACATGGTTATATATTATTGGATAAGTGGTTTGTGTACATATTGCTATGAGAATTATAGAGAAATTCAGTGAGATTTATGTAATATAATTCAAATTACAAGTAAACCATCTGTTCCTGTTTGGCAATATGGAGAAAATACCTACTTCAATGTCAAATGTACTATTTAAAAGAATGTGATTGTTAACCGGTCATTTATTTATATTATATTATGAAAATAAAAACTCGAATTTTTTAACTAGGGAAAGATATACTTACATCGGTAACAAGGTATTTTTAGAAAAACTAATAGATTACTCCTATTCCTATAGTTTATTTGAAAATGAATAATAGCAAAATTATATAAAAATATGGACCTTTGCCATAAAAATTGTGCTACCAAGCATTTTCAAATAAACTATGATAATTTGATTTAATAGAGCGAGTATAAGATCTCACCTGTTAGAGAAATTGGGGCATAGGGAAAAGATTATGAAGCAGGTAAGCAAAGTCATTGCAAAAGATAAATATATAGAAGTTATTTTAAAAATTTGATAAAAAAACTAGTGGAACAACAAATGGAGTTGTCGCTATCGGAGATCCAATCAGCAGAAAGTAAAAAAAAAACTTTGGGAATGTTGGAAAAGGGCCCAGCAATAGGCCCAAAACAATTCCTTGGTTTTTTAATAAATATAATCCGAGATGCAAAAAATACTGCTAGAGTGGAGAAGCAATATTGTTCTAATGTAGAAAACCCAGGGACATACAGCAGTGCACTATCCATAGGCGAATAGTCACTAAATTATACAAGAGTCCCATCTCGATTTTATTTTTAAATATTTTTGAGAATACCTATTATTATTTGTTACATTGAGTTTAATAAAACCACAGATTTCGAATGTATTGAAAGTTATTTAAAAAGTACCTCTATAAATATATAGAAAATGTGTATATGACTAACTGGTTTTATTAATCTTTTTTTGGGGTAGGTAAATATATTTTGAAAAATTTACAAACTTCTTTTGAATAAAAGACAAAATATTTCTGTTTTTATTAACTGAACAATATTTTATACGAACATAATATATACCTATTTAAAAGAAAATATTACATTTTACAAGTATCGCATATTTATATGAAATAACTTACTCAATAAGAAAGAATTAAATGAAACAAATTAATAAACAATGGATATGAAAAATTGCTTTAACAATTTAATCCTTAGATAAACTTATTCTTACATATTGCTTTAATCAATTTATTTACTATAAAAGTATATTTCCTATCATTTATTACATATAATAAAATAAAGCATAAAACATACAAACTATAATATGTACCTACTTAGAACGGAACTAATATTATTGTATCAAGGTAGTAATAGTGGACATTTTCCGAATAAAAAAAAGTAAAAAAGAAGTAACGGTCGACACGTTTTTCTGACTATTGGTCTTGATCAGTACGGTGCAGCCAAGTTCAAAGGATAATGGAATTTGTGTTGGAAAAATTGTACAATAGGTCACTAACAAGGAGCCAATAACACATTTGCCGTTTCAGCTAGTATCCTCAAATTTTCTGGGCTTATACTAAAGTCACAAAATGATTCAATGGTCTTCCTATGGCTATCAGTTATTCTTTCCTAACATTTTTTGGTATGCTACAACAAAACATACAAATTATTTGATTTTGTAAATACACAAATATTTGTGAAAACTTACACATGAAATGTTATTCCTTCCTTGTATCTTCTACCGGTAGATGCATTGTTACATTCACGTACAAAACAAAAAGAGATTTTGAAAATCCTGTAAAAATTTAACACCAAACCACAAATGTTTTTTATTAAAATAAAACACTAAACGACTAAACTAAAAAATAATGTTTTAAATAAAACCTTTACTAGAAGAACAAAATAAACAACACAACAGATAATAAAATCGATTATATACGTCCAACGCCGGCCGATCTTACGCTTATTACTAAACTTGCGCCGATTCTGTCTTGTCAGTAGTGCCAACTTAAAATTTATTGACATTTATTTATCATGGCGCCCATCATATGGGGGGTCAAAATGTTTTTACGATGCGGTATCTAGACCTTCTGAGGGCTATGGAAATTAAATAGTGCCATACAATGACAGATAGTATTAACCTTCTTGATTTCAAATGTATATGTATGTTGGGTTGTCTATACCATAGGTAGCTGTCAATATAAATGTATTAGGCATTCCAACGACCTGTCAAACAATAGGTGCCAGTGGGAAATTCTTGTATATCTAAGGGGGTAGCGACATAGTCTTGCAACTTGGACGCGATTTTTATTCAAAGTAGTAGTCGCCAAGCCTGCCAATTTATGAAGAAATGTATAGGTGGGTTTTTTAAATATTATTTTTATTGTGTTTGACATAAAATATTTAAATGTAATCCATTATTCATGATTTTACGTAAAGTAGATAGAATACACCATATGTCGCCACCCTTAGATTTACCAAACCTGCCCACTGGTAATTCATTTGTTTGGAATGCCTAATAATAAGAGCAATGTTCGTTGGGTTGCATATAATAAAATTGTTGATTAATAGAAAATCATTCATTAATAGGGATCATTAATGTGCGTTAAATACATCATACATAATTGGTCGGTCGACGGAAAAATTACATTTGTTAATAAATCTAATAAGTAAATTAAGTAACCCATCATCCTGTATACAAAAACAACATATTCCAAAATACAATGCTTTAAGAGCAAACCGGACTTCTCTCGGAAGCAAAAATGTAAAATTGTATTTATAGGCGCGCCCCTGGGAATACTTCGCGATATTATGTTTCTCGAGAAGAGAGCTTTAAAAAACCTCGCACACCGCTTATGAAAAAGTGGTGACCTGTTAAATATCATAAATTTTTGATATGTTGCAGTTCTCGACCTCTTAAGCAATAATGTCCATGGGACCATTCAAATCCTATGACTGGTTTTTGAGATACAGGGCGTTAAACTTAAGAAATACTACTTATTTGATAAAGGTTATTTCAGGAGAAAGCTAATCGATTACAATTTTTTGTGCCAAATCTTATTGTAACATCTTTTGATATTTTACGAATATTAAAATTATTTTCCTTTACAGGGTGAGCCACGAATAAGTAAGGACATGTTTTTGATAATTAGTTTTATTGTTCTAAAAGGTGAAAATATTTACTAAAAAATAAATTATTGCTACATTTGTCATGTCTAATGATAATACAGAAGATATTAGGTGCCATTTATACAGGGTGATTCGTAAATATTGACATAGGCCAATTAATTTTTTATAAGTATTAATGTGAAACGCAGTATTTTTACGGGACTTTAATGTATTTACCATACGTATAATTAATTCATTGACTACAGGATGATTTAATAAATACGGGATGTTCCTAAACATCGTACACATACGGAAGGTGGTAATTCTTTGGCTTATTTCATGACTAAAAGTTCATATAAACATAGGCAAACTCTTGGTTACCGATTCACAGGGTGTTGAAATTTTTTTTTACCATATCATCCCTAATTTTTCTCACATACAAGATGTCTCTAAAATAGACCTTATTGGAAATATTTGATAAAATGTACAAAATTCATTTTTGTTTTGTTTTGGACGGGATCTAACTTTAGTGGAAAGTCATGTGTGGGGAGTAGGGACACATCAGATATAAATGCGGAAAGATAAAATTTTGGATTTTAACCCATATAGCACACATTATTTCAGAAATAATTCAAACATTTCAAACTTAACATTTCAAGCACAAGTTTTTGAAATATTTCTGAAATGTTTTAGTTAAATATTTAATTGAAAATGTTTCTGAAACATGATATACATGTTACACAAAAGGTTATGTTGCAAAAGGCCAAGACTTAATGAAGAAGTTCTGATTTGTAAGAAGAAGATGGGATATGTAGTTATTTTATTTCATCCTATGACCACCAGAAACAACCCATTTATTCTAAATAATTATAGATTTGAGTTGTCGGTTTTTGTTAATAATGCCTTGTGCTGTTATTATATGGGAAGTTAAATATGTCTTTAAAACTGGAGGTGAGTAGGTATTACAGAAATAATGCTTGTTTAGGCATGAGTATTGTTTGTTTTATTATAGTTAATCAAATAATTTGTATAGATCCTTTTTAGTTACCTATAATTTGCTTCAGATTAGTGCATTTAAAGGAATTGGTGGAAATGAAGCAATTTGCCAGCTTTGGGGATGTGCCAGTAAAAGTAACATCCAATTTATTCAACGTTTCCAGAATAAAGTATTAAGGAACTTCAACGATGCATCCTTATACTGCCGCAATACTGATCTTCTTAGGGATCTTAAAGTGGAGACTTGAAAATACAATATAAAAATTTGCCAGTAGTCACCAACAATGGCTGTTCCAACATGGAAACTTTGAGATTATCCAGCTCCTCAACAATGCCAATCTAATAAGAAGACTCAAGAGAACCAAGCCTTTTGATGTTAGATTAAAGCAGAATATAGTGCGGTTAAGTGTTATAGGTTAACTAAATAATTTGACTCTAAGGTACACTAGTGAGTAGAATCTTAGTTTATGAAATTTTTCATCCCTATATAAGTTAGTTAAAAATAAAATTTCTAATTGATCTTAAGGACCAGATTGTAATAATCATAAATGTTTCTTTACTTGGGGCATTTATTAAAAAAAACCCATTTTTTCAGATTAGTGCATTTAGAGGAATTTTATGAAATATTGTTTAAAAATTATTTGTTTATTTTTTTTTTTTAAGAATCAATGTTTGAGTTTTGTGTATTTTATATAAACATGTATATTTTTAAATGTCTGTTTTTAGTCTAATAATATTTTAGAAAAAAAAATTGTAATACATTTCTGAAATATTACTATTTAATATTTCTAAAAGAGTTCAAATTTTCATTTCAGAAATATTACTGTGAAATATTATATTTACAGGACATTTTTACGTTTCAGGAACTTTTCAGAAATGTTTCTTGGATGTTTCGTATTATTTATACAACATTACAAATGTTTCAATGTAACATTTTTGAAATATTTCCGAAATGTGTATGGGAAATTGTTACAAAATTTTAATTGTCACCGAATTCGAGGGAGTTTAGGTGGGGAGGTTGCTGCCAATTCACGATGATGCGTTTTTTTATATTAATTGCAATTAGATAATAGGCAACTAGTCTTCCCAAGGATGTTTAGCAGTGTTGTCAGTCTAGTACAATTGTACTAGATCCAGTACATTATTTGAGAATCTGGTACTCTAGTACACTCGAAGCAAAATCTAGTACTTTATTTTTTTAGCCTGTTTCCATTTGACGGGTAAAATATATTGTTCGGTTCTTCATTGTTTGTGTTCGTTCTCGATAAAAGTTTCTTTTTTGCTCTTCAATGAACCAATCACAATAGTTTTATGGAATCTGGTACATTTTTCAGACAAATCTAGTACATAATAAAAATATATTCTGGCAACACTGATGTTAAGTATTTAGAGTGGCTCCAAACTGGCCAGATCGCCCTCTTCTATATAGTATGTTTCCTTGGATTCTGGAGTAGGTACGATACGTTCCGTCAGAATTTACATGTATGTTTCATGCTCCTCACATAATATGCACTCACTACCTCCTACTAGTCCAAGTTTCACATATCTTGTAAATACACGGTGTTTAAAAGACTGGTTCTAATTCATTGATTTTCTGAGAGTTACGGTTCCTTTTCAGATTATCTTAAAAGAGCAGTTAGATAATATTTACCAGTCTCACAGTATTATGCCTTTGGTAATTTTTTCATTTTTTTAATGGCTATAAAAGTGAACCACAAACGATGCAAAAATTAAGTGCCTACCTTTTAATAATGCTGCTTTGAATAAATAAACGATTGACATTCACACTAGAAGCTATCTATGTCTATATTTCGCAGTAGTGCGATAATTTTGAACAATTTAATTTAGGCTTGCATTAAATACAATTGAAACTCACCTATCAAAAACTGAAACAATGCATAAGACACATAGGGCAAAAAACATCCCAACGTAAATATCACTATAGTAAGCGTAGTGTATTAAAAAACTAGCATCTTGTTGATGGAAATTACACACTAAATATAGCCAGTGTCCTAAAGCTAGTCCACCGAGTAGACCATGGCAAAGGGTTGAGATTCGCATCCACCACCTTTGGAAAATGAGTGATATTTCTAAAGGATATGTCGCATATCTGTAACCCAAATTATAATAGATTATTATAAAATTAAATGTACATATATCTACCCTAACAACGTATACTTTGGACATTACATCCATATTTATATATAATTATATTATTTTCAAAAAACCCTACAGAAGTAACGTAAACGTTATTTTTACCTTCTTCCAAATTTATTGTCGTCCATTTCTGGTATTGTTGGTCTATTTATGGAAGTACTAGGTCTGCCAGTAACCTCGAATTTGGTTTTCCTTTGAACATACAATTTATCTGATTTTCTGGGACTCTTCTTCATTTTCTCCGGTTTGGCATTAAAATCTGGATTTGTCTCAAATACGTCGTCTTGAAGTTCTTCCAAAGCAACTGCGATGTCGTTACGAAGATCATATTCTTCCTCTCGTTTTTTGTGTTTTCCTGAAATATAATAATGCGTTTGCAAAAGAAATATTGATAAAAAATAAGTTAGGAACTACAAATAAAGAAGATATTTCTCGATCAGAATTATTGCAGGACTGTTTTTAACTAACTAGAATAGAGGCCACCTAAAAATTAAAGAAGAAGAACTGAAAATGAAATAAAGTATTTATGACTTACTTTTTGTGCTACTCGAGTTAGCAGGTGAAACATCTCTTCTCTTCTTTTTGCTTTTCTTTTTTTCTTTTGGTATCATCATTTCTCTGCTATCTCCTATTCCCATTTCCGCGTCACCACCATGTCTTTTCTTTTTTGATTTAGACTTCTTCAATGAAGTAGTCATTATATCTTCGGGATCCCTTCCATTATGTGCAGCTTGCATTGTGTTGTAAGCGTTCAGTTCATCATTGTCCATTTGAAGGTATTCTTTTCTTTTTCTGTAATGCTTTCGTTCTTCCGGGCTTAATAGTTCTAGGTTGCCTGTAAATGAAAAAGAAGATAATGATTATGAAACAACTTCCCATCTAGTAAGTAGTTAGTTAGTTAGTTTTATTATATCAAATAAGGTTCAAATATAACTTTATATCGATAAGAACCAGATCTTTATAATATTGGTAAATTGGACACTGAAAAGTAGATTAAAGAGTCTATGGATCTTAAACAAAAAATAAAATTTGTAGTAAATGCAAACGCTTTAGTAATATTGGCAAGCAGCGACCACAACACAATATACATACAAAAGAAAGTAAATGGAAACAGAAATAGAAGTACTCGTATATAAAGGGTGGTCCTTAAGTAATTGTACATAGAAGTATGGTAGATTCCTCACTTTAAAATATTACGATTTAAACCAACTTGCTTTAATAAAATGTTGCTAATAAGGAATATACAGGGCGTTAAAGGTTAAATTTTAGGATTTCTTTTTTGGAATAGTTTTAACGTTTTTGGATATGTTTTGTGATATTTGTTTAATTTAAACAATAGTTTATTTATTAATAATTTATTTAGACATTTGTTTATTTTATAACACTACTATTCTAATTTACATATATTTCGAATGTTCACTATTTATTTTCACTGTCAATATATTTTATTATCAAGTGTCTATATACAACTGATACACCGTTATCCTCCACCAATATTTATATACAAATTTAAAATTATGGCGAAGTTTCCAGAATGCTCCTCCGCCAAACTAGAAATATCTCGTTATATTTGGAATATACTAGAAACATCCCGTTCTTTAAATAAGACAGAGGGGGACTTGGAGGATTAGAGCATGACTGAATAATGAAATGGCTCACATTACAGTATACATAAAAATTTGGAAATAGAGGTTTTTGGGCACGAAAAATCATAATCTGGTACCTAATTCGATGTAATTTGTAGAGGGCGCTACGTAGGATACATTTTTGGCATAAATGTGCCCTATATTTAATGCTGTTTGAGTTAGCGGCATTTTTGTAAAAGAATATTAAAGACACGTTATTTTAATAGAAGAAAAGTATACTTGTTATTAACATTAAAACTTAACGGTTTACGATATAATCGCATTTTAGGGATCAGCTGCATGATTATTATTGAAAATATTTAGAAAACAAATTAAAAAAAAACTAAGCTAAATAACATTATAACTTTAATTGTGTCACATTAAATATTCGATATGTCCTCCATTCTCATCGATGCATTTATCTACACGTTATTATAACAAAAATTAATTTTGTTTTTAATAATCTGTTATAATGAACCACCTAAGTACAGCTTCTGAAACAAATTCATAACAAAACCCGTATTGTCACACTGTCTATCATCAGCCGAGTTGTAAGTTGCACAGTTAATTTTTTTTATCTATTTGGACAAAAACTACAAATGAATTGAAAGAAAAAAGTGATAGGTAATAAGTTTTTTCTCACAATGTCGGATTTTTTAAAAGAAGCTTTTATATTACAAATAGCCACTCTCAGTTCTTCGTCTATATTCAGTCGAGACCTTGCCGCAGAAAATCTGGCTTCGCAAACATAGGATGTTGAAAATGACAATAATATAGGAAATGCTCTTATTTTCAGTGGAGAAAAGGCGTCTTCCAGTCCAGTCCAAGATTTATTACTAAATTCTCGCTTGATTTGACCGCTTGCAGTAAAGTCTATGAAGATTTCGTCTCCAGTTGAAAGACCTTCAGGAGTAGTTCGAAATGGATCCCTAACCCACTCGTAACTTGCTACCAATTTGTCGTCACCAAGAAAATACTTTTTAAAATTCTGTGCCAACATAGCTAAATGACTGTCTATTGTTACAAAAACAACTTTCACATACTGTTCTTCTTCCTTGTATGTTTTGACACACTCATTCACATTTGCAAACATTTCTAGTTTTTTTTTTGTTATACATTTCTGTTCCACAGCTCAACTTTCTACAAAAAGCACTAACTTTATAACTAATATCCAACAATTGTGTGTTTGCTCCTTGGAGTTGCAGATTCAAGTTATTTAATTTCTCGAATATGTCGACCAAGTAACTCAATTTCATCACAAATAAAGCATCTCGAAAGTTTTCGGCTTCCGGGCGATTTTGCTCTTCTAGAAAAGTGGCAATTTCCACTTTTAACTCAAAAACACGTTGTAAAAATTTTCCACGCGATAATTTTAGGGGTCTAATTTTTATATAATTTATTACTGCAGTTACAACCGTCGTTAGCACAATATTGAGACCATTAAACCCATAAAACTACTTTGCAACATTTCACTTTGCACTTTGCAAATTTATGAGTGCAAAATACTTGCGTTTCATAAAATAATATCGTTATCTTTGCAGATAATTAGTTTTTCATTTTCACTTTGGAAATTGCTTTTGAAATTTTACTTTTTAACTGGTCAAATTTATCTTTTATGAAACATAAATTTATTAAAATATGCAAAGTACAAAATGTAAAGTTGCAAAGTAGTGTTATGAAATAGGCCCCTGGACTCATTTCTTTGGAAGTCAGAGCCTCTCTGTGGATCATGCAATGGGTCCAGATATTGTACGGTCACCATCGGTGCATATTCAAACGCAATTTTTCCACTTTAAGTTTGCCTCATTATTAAAATCATTTAAAATATCAAACAAAGCGAGTGTTCTTGGTTTGAGTTCTATAGGTTTCCGAAAAGTAGTTTTTCTACTGCCGATATACCGTCACAAAACTGGACATAGGCAATTAAATGAGCGTCTTTATTGCCTCTTTAAGCTGAATCGAAAACAAATTCTCACGCAACTTTTCAAGAAGCTAATGCTGTACATCTTCGGCTATATCACCAATTCAGCGAGCAACAGTATCATTTGAAAGAGGTATTGGATTGAAATTGTTTGGCAAAATTATCTCCAAACATAGTTTCTACCATCTTCATCGCAGCTGGCAGAATAAGGTCTTCACCAATGGTATGAGTATTTTTTACATCTGGCTATTTTTTATAATACTTTGTAAAAGGCAAGTAAAGCATTTTAGTTGACAGACAAATTTTATTTTAAGAATGATGTTTGCTCTTCATATGACTTTAATTTTAATTCAAAGAATTCTCGGGGCTTGTAACATACTCACTATGAAGTGTTTCCAAATGTATCCAAATTTATTAGGTTTCATGCTATCTGCTGCCAACATTTTTAAACAAATGACGCACACAGGTCTTTCTCCTTCATTTATTTTAGTAGTGGTAAATCCAAAATTTAGGTATTATTGCAAATATTTTCTTGATTTTATCTTCGAAACCATAGTTGACTGTGCACTTGTTGATGCTGTCTAATATTGTCTAATACTCGCTTACGTCCAATTTAAAATCAATCCATAGTTCTGTATAAATTTACTGCCGTAAAATTTACGTAAATATCTTATACAGAAATACGGTACAGTTACACAAAACTTAGAAAATTTTTCACCGCGACTTTACTAAAACTGACCGGAACCTCTAACAGCCGCAGCATTTATACATGCTTGCTCCGCTGTCGAGCAGATATTTTGTACTATTTCAAATAAATCGAAACCATAGTCCAAACTTTTCGTAGCGACGGTAAGCCGCGAGAATGTTCGATATCCGTCTTAAATAACAGAGAGCAGCTGATAAACATTTATTCTGGCTTTACACTTTACCTATTCGCTCCGTGCGAAGTCATGGAAAGGGAAGCAAAAGCGATACTAGCGCTAGCTGCGGATAATTCGTGCATTTTAGGGCGATATTTTGTAATTTTGGCATATCAAATTTCAAAAAAGTAGGTAAAAACAATACAATAAGCAACCGGAGTTGCTGTGTTGAAAATTGTACAAATACTAGCAAAAAAAAAAACAGTGAAACTTATATAAAAAAATTCAGTAGCAAAGTGGAAATTAAATCAAAGAAATAAATCGATAGGTGTATAATAAGAAGAAAAATTACCTTTATTTTTGTAATAATAACAGTAATGCTGGAAATAGTAGACATCAGAAACTTGAAAGGTTTTAAATAAACAATAAATTATCATTTTATGATATTCTTTAATATCCCTTTATACTTAAATGTTCATTCAGCAAGGACTAGATTTCAAGATTTCTGCCTTTGATTATATGTGGCTGGAATACAATTTTGTGACTTACTGATGGGAAACTAGTTTTAATCATTCATTCTATGTTTTCTTTCCAACAAAAATATAAATAACGATTCTTTTTTTATACATTTTAACTTCACGCTATTATTAAACAGTATTTTTTTATTTTGATAGAATGTGCTGATTCTTCAATGACAACTTATTAGACTTAGGCAACTTCTCATACATTTTCCAGTAAATACTGTTGCCTGCCTATATTTTATTATTAATTTTTATTGATTATAGATAATTTTCTTTAATTTAAGAGATAAAAATATATAATAATAATAAATTAATGTTTTACTTGTTTTACAAATCCATATACTTTTATTAAAACTAACATATATACTTTTTAATTACGAATTCTGTTAAAAATTGCATTTGTCAGTATAGGCAGAAATAGTCCATTAGTACCAAAACGAATTGGCGCTGCTGTCGCACACGGAGCGAATATGGGATGTAGCGGTAATTATGAAGGTCTGTTATTAAGCTCTATATTAGGGCTTGTGGGATCTTTTAAATGTTAATAATAATACTCTCCGTAATAATTGTATCCCATCAATAAATAAAAATGTACTTATAAAAGTATAATTTCGAATATTAAACTCGATGTCATGACATGTATATAAATTATCAAAAAACAAAAGTCATAATTATAAATAAACAATTATTGTTTCCCTCCCAATGAGTTCAACCTTTTGTCTTGCTAGAACTGCCACGAAAGGTTGTCTAAATGATGACAACAATTTAATTCGTATGACGTAATAAAAATGATAAAGATATGTAGTGCATGTCGCTACAGGGCTCTAGGCCTAGAGTCTAGGGTTTAAGGCACTAACCATGCGCTGCACTAAGGGAACTGCGTATAGTAAACTTTTCAAATGACCCCATAAGAAAAAAAAGAGATTTTAGAGCTGGTGACTTTGCAAGCCAAGCTCCTCAAAAACCACATCCTATCCTACTACGCTCTTCAAGAAAATAATAGGATTGTCAAATATATTTTTGGAAGATTGACAAAGAGAGGGTTTTAGAATTGTCAGTAGGGAAATTAAAAAAAAAAGGTCAGAAAATATCATATTGAAGTTAAGATAGATTGATATTAAAGTTAAAGATTTTATATCGTAGAGATGAAATAAAAAAAAAAAGAATAGAAAAGAAAGAACAAAAGAAAGATTATTTAAATTTAAGTTAAGTGTAGATGGAATAGAAAGGAGAATTTAGCAGGAAGGAGAATTTAGCAGGAAGGAGAATTCGTCTGAAGGAGGAGTAAAAGAAGAAAGTAGAGGAAAACAGTAAGAGGAGACCAGGCAGAAAAACAGGAGTTTGAGCAGAAAGCAGAAGAACAGGAAGAAAGAAGCGAGGCGAAGAAAGAGATTTAGATTTGTTTTTCAAATTCAATATTTATCGATTAGTATTATTTGTAGCCCTAGGATATTGGAATGGTTTAAACTTTCCAAGGTGGAATTATTATATGTGCGCGTCGCTACTTGTACTCGATACTCGTCAGAAGGAATGAAAAGTAGTGAAGTAATGAAGTAGTAAAAAATATAGAGTACTCGAAATTTTTTGACTATAAGTCCCGTCAGGATGAAAGTACTTACCAGTACCAACTATTGAGTACTTTGAGGACGCGATTTCAATTTTGACTAAAATTTACTCGAGTACTAACCGCTTTGCTTACATTTCACAAAAAAAAATGTTAAAAAGTTCTGCATCTCTTTGAAATCCACAATCAAGCATCATATTTGATGAAAATATGTCTAATACACACTTATTATTGATTGGGAAATTTATTGAATAGAGTATGTAATTAAAATCACGATGAATATTACATTTTTAGTTTGAAATTTTAATTTTAGGTCGATAAATAACTTCTTGTAGTTTCCATTTTAAATTAATTGTAAATAAATGACATGGAAAATATTTTTTCTTATATTTCACTATGTATAAAATCCCAATTACACAGGTAATATATACCATTTAATATACTATACATATCCATAAAATACGTGTGTTATACTTAACTTTTTGACTATCTAAAAATATGATAAGTTAAATTTTAAGATACGATATGCAATTGAAAATTTCGAATAAGCAAAAAGTAAAATGCTCAAGAGAGCTCGGGAGAAACGAGAAATTCTCGTCGAGATATAACACTCTCTCGTCTTGTCTCGAGTCTCATTTCAAGAGAAAATGTATCTCTCGTTGAGACGAGACACGAGATACGACACACGATACACGCGTCACGAGACACGAGATACGAGATACGAGACACGAGATACGAGATACGAGATACGAGATACGAGATACGAGATACGAGATACGAGATACGAGATACGAGATACGAGATACGAGATACGAGATACGAGATACGAGATACGAGATACGAGATACGAGATACGAGATACGAGATACGAGATACGAGATACGAGATACGAGATACGAGATACGAGATACGAGATACGAGATACGAGATACGAGATACGAGATACGAGATACGAGATACGAGATACGAGATACGAGACACGAGACACGAGATACGAGATACGAGATACGAGATACGAGATACGAGATACGAGATACGAGATACGAGATACGAGATACGAGATACGAGATACGAGATACGAGATACGAGATACGAGATACGAGATACGAGATACGAGATACGAGATACGAGATACGAGATACGAGATACGAGATACGAGATACGAGATACGAGATACGAGATACGAGATACGAGATACGAGATACGAGATACGAGATACGAGATACGAGATACGAGATACGAGATACGAGATACGAGATACGAGATACGAGATACGAGATACGAGATACGAGATACGAGATACGAGATACGAGATACGAGATACGAGATACGAGATACGAGATACGAGATACGAGATACGAGATACGAGATACGAGATACGAGACACGAGACACGAGACACGAGATACGAGACTCGAGACTCGAGACACGAGACACGAGACACGAGACACGAGACACGAGACACGAGATACGAGATACGAGATACGAGATACGAGACACGAGACACGAGACACGAAACACGAGACACGAGATAATTTCCGAGACACGAGACAAGGCAATCTCTTGTCTCCCAGCATCACTAAGTAACTTCGTTGAAAAGACAATAATAAAAATTAGTTTACCATAGAAAAAAAAGTAAAATTGAAATTCATTTAATAATTACTATTATACTCTTTACACAGTAGTCTGTGAAGAGCAGTCCTGGATTTGTCAATAGGCCATATAGGCAGCAGCTTAGGAGCGACAGCGTCCTAGGGGCGGCATATTTCAGAGGTGTTCACTCGATTTCAGAGGATAAAAGTCTAACAAGTTCACTGGTTTTTATACTAATACGTTATATCCCTATAGAAACTCATTCCTATCGAAAATTATCAAACCTAGGTACCTACTGTTATTGTACCCATTTTATCTATATTACGACGATTTGGTTCAAGAATGTGTGCATTTTCACTGTTACATTTCCTCTAATAAAACTGCAGAGTGTGCAGTGAAGCCTGGATCAAACTCACTACTGTCTCCCAAAGTTATTGAGGAATGAATCTGTATCTAATGTTTACCCTAATTTGGATATAGCTCTCCGCATCGCGTGATAAATTTATCAAAGGTCTTCATTGTCTGAAGAAAAAATGAATTCTTTAGCTCTTCTCTACATAGAAGCAGAGATATTGAATACCATAAACTATGATGATATTATAGATGATTTTGCTATTAAAAAGTCCCGTATAAATTGTAATTCTTGTTTCTTTTTTACGCTCTTTCTTAATGACTAATTCATTCGTTTATTTAACTCAGTGCCTTCCTTACTACAAATGGAAAATTATTATTATTTTAGAAAGGTACATGGGGCGGTGGAAATAACGTTTCCTACACTCATAAAAAATATAAATCCGGTACTGGTGAAAAGTATTGTAGGTTTACTTCCGTCCGTCCGTCCGTCCCATGTACGTTTTTATCCACACGATAAGTCAACAACGAAAAATGTTATCAACTTGAAAATTTCAGGAAAAATCAAGCTCTATAAGGAAACTAAACTCACTTTTTCTGAAAAAAAAAAAAATGGGGGGTTAAGGAGGGTTGAAATATTTAAAAAACGAACAATAATATCAACTTGGAATTTTTGGCAAAAATCATGCTCTATAAGAGGATAAAGCCTTTTGAATTTAAAAAAAATCTGAATAAAATGGGAGCCAAGGGAGTTTGAAATACAAAATAGGAACCAGAAACCAAAAGCGATATCAACATGAAATAGTTTCGTAAAAATAGGTTTTATAAGGGAATGAATAAATAAATAAATAAATAAATAAATAAATAAATAAATAAATAAATAAATAAATAAATAAATAAATAAATAAATAAATAAATAAATAAATAAATAAATAAATAAATAAATAAATAAATAAATAAATAAATAAATAAATAAATAAATAAATAAATAAATAAATAAATAAATAAATAAATAAATAAATAAATAAATAAATAAATAAATAAATAAATAAATAAATAAATAAATAAATAAATAAATAAATAAATAAATAAATAAATAAATAAATAAATAAATAAATAAATAAATAAATAAATAAATAAATAAATAAATAAATAAATAAATAAATAAATAAATAAATAAATAAATAAATAAATAAATAAATAAATAAATAAATAAATAAATAAATAAATAAATAAATAAATAAATAAATAAATAAATAAATAAATAAATAAATAAATAAATAAATAAATAAATAAATAAATAAATAAATAAATAAATAAATAAATAAATAAATAAATAAATAAATAAATAAATAAATAAATAAATAAATAAATAAATAAATAAATAAATAAATAAATAAATAAATAAATAAATAAATAAATAAATAAATAAATAAATAAATAAATAAATAAATAAATAAATAAATAAATAAATAAATAAATAAATAAATAAATAAATAAATAAATAAATAAATAAATAAATAAATAAATAAATAAATAAATAAATAAATAAATAAATAAATAAATAAATAAATAAATAAATAAATAAATAAATAAATAAATATTGAAAAAGTCCTCATTCTTTTTTTTGGCATAGACTTTTTGTCATACAGCCAGTCACAAAATGGAAGAGATAAATTAACAAATAATGAATGAAAAGGAGAAAACATTAAATATTTAATTTCAAATAATAACAAGATGATTAAACGGGGACACTCGCAAGTCCTCATTCAAAAACAAAAAAGATATCAAATTGAAATATTCAGGAAAAATCAAGCTTATTGATTTTGAAAAAAATCTTATTGAAAATGGGGGTTAAGTGGGACTGTTAGACTGTAAAGAGTATACCTAATATAGAATGCCAAACATTATAATTTTTCATTCTAGTTACTTTTGCCATTTAGCTGCTATAGAATTAAAATGTTACAATAACAGAATAATTTTTTTTATTTGTCTAGATATCGAATAAAAAAACTACATTGATTTGGAATCCTTTGCTAAAAAAACTTTCTGCTGACTATTAGATGCTTAACAAAGGTTGACATATGACCTTTTAGCGCTTTTTTATTTAGACACGCCTTGAACCTCTAACCTTTCAAAACTTTAACACGAACTTAGAGAATTTAAGTGATTTCAATAATTATAGTAAAATGATTAAAATGTACCTGATAGTTCTTCTGGAATCTTTTCGTCTTCGTAAAAACTCAAACTCTGAGGCCTGGAATCGGTAAAATGGGAATGTCTGTTGATATCTCTTCTCATCTCAGTTTCGATAAGGGACATAATTTTCGAATTAATTTGTGTTTCGCCATCCACCGAGATTTCCCTGCTCGGAGTGTGCATGCTAATATTTTCGTTTTTGTCTTCATATTTCGTATAAGTCCTGTTCGATTCAGTTTCTGAATTATTGGCGTAGTCATTATCACTGTTAGTGTTCGAAAGTACGGATTTGTGCACTTGTGCTACGATTTGTTCCTTCATGTCTTCCTTCTGATTTTGGTTTTGTTTATGTTTCTTGGTTTTCGGAGAGAGGATTCCATTCATACTTTCGCCAATGGCTATCGATCCTCTCTGAAGCGCGCACCTTTTGTTTGTATTGGCGAGTTTTCAGTCCTTTTGGACATTTAACGCGAATGTAATGGTAACGATTAGATAATATAGTAAAATTATTCCGTATTTGGTTTGTAAATATTAATGGCGCCCGGAACACCGAAGGATAGTCGCGTTTTTTAAAAAATAATGATGCGTATTGGGGTGAAAGTCATTCAACTGGTGAATGTTTTGCGCATGGGTGAACTAGTTTTATTCCAAACGTCAGGATCCCTTATTGCGTCTTTCGTGGGCACATGTAGGTGGATATACAGTGTGTTTCACTTTTTATTGATAAACCTTTATATCACCGGAATAGGGGTTATATTTTAATAATAATCAGATGGAATTCCTCTAACGTGAGGCCTATGAAGCGACTATGTAATTTAAAAATGTTAATAGTCTCAGTGCCCCAATAAAAATTGCACTGCCCGATATGTTCAAAATGACCCCATTTCTTCTGAATCTTTGAATATAAGAAGCTTTTCGTGGAAAAGACTAGACAGCACAAGTCATTACGTGAACATTCACTGTACAATTACATGCAGAATGAGTTTTAAGTATGGAACTCCCTAATTATCTAATAATAATAATAATAATTTTTATTTGCCAGTAAAAAAATATATAGCACAATAACAAAGTTCACATTACAACAACAACAATCGGCAAATATTAGGTATGGTGCTAGATCATTAAGACCGATTCTTCCACACCACCCTTCATTAAATTAATCTAAGCTTAATTAAAAAAAAACAAAAATATATGTCTACTTATATATGTATAAAACAATAAGATTCTCACATTAAAAAAATGCAGAGGAAAAATATAGAACATTAGCATACAGATAAATACTCAGTGAAAAAATACATAAATACAGAAACACAGAGCTGTGTAATAAATTTTAAATTAGTCATAATATCCCCATAGAAAAGCAGTTTAATAGCAATAACAAAATAATAATATGTATAATATTGATTATTAAAAAGCTGTTTCCTGTGTTTGTTTTTAAATGCTTTAAAAGATAAATTAAAGTTAGTTATATTAAGTAGATGACTGACAGAAGCAACTTGGTAAGAGAATGAACTTTTGAACAATTCCATATTATGGGATGGTGTAGTAAATAATGGTGCCTTCTTAAATTCAAATTATGTACATCAGTTCTAAATTTAATTATGTTAAGAAGATAGGGTGGAGTTTTTGTTTTCACTATTTTGTAATAAAAACATAAGGCATACAGTTTTCGTCTATTGAACATACTTAACCATTTTACTTGTTTGAGCTTGTGGGATATTCTGTTTCTACGTCTAATACCAAATATTAATCTAAGGCAACTGTTTTGTACTTTTTGTACCCTATTTACATCAACTTTGCGCAGAGAGGGGCCATAGACTGTGTCATAGTGATTAAAGTGGGACAGAATTAAAGACTCTGTTAATAGTTTTTTAGTTTCAATATTCAGTTCCGATCTGTGTGGATAAATTAATTTTAAAGAATAATAAACTTTTTGGGGGGTGGGTTGGCTCAGTGGTTAGAGTCATGACTTTGAGATCGGAAGGTCTCAGGTTCGAATCCCACCATTGGCCGGGATTTTTTCATTTAATTTATTTATTTGAAATTAATTCTGATGCCTTGGTAGGATTCCCCACTCGACCATTCACTGTTGGGTTCTAATTAACAGTGCTGTTCCTAAAGTGGCGCTGGGAAACAGTACCAAAGCCTACACAGAACACGAGGCTAATGGCCGTAGTAGTCGACGCCGATGACACCAATTTAAAAAAAAAAAATAAACCTTTTTCATTTTATCAGTTATATGTCTATTAAATCGAAGTTTAGAGTCTATGATTAAACCCAAATTCTTACAGTATTCTTGAACTTCTAAAGTTTGATTATTAAGTTTAATTTTTAGATTAGGCAAGACAGTTGACCTTTGAAAATCATTGCAAAATAAGACGACATTCGATTTTTTTGGATTAATTTTAAGATGGTGCTTGTCCGATAGTGACACAATTGTAGCTAGATCAGTATTAATATTGTTAAGGACCTCGCAAATTCTGGATGTTTAAAAAGAATAATAAATTTGGGTGTCGTCTGCGTACAAATGATATTTACAGTGTCTTAGATAGTTGTGAAAATACGAAGTGTACAAAGTAAAAAACAGCGGACCTAATATGCTTCCTTGGGGCACACCCTGCTGAATGTCAATTTTATCAGATAATTTGTCCTCAACAGTTACTTGCTGCACTCTATTTGTAAGATAGGATTTTAAAAGAGAGCATGAATTTTTACTCAAACCAATGTAGTGAAATAAAGAGAACATTATCTCATGATTTAAGGTATCGAATGCTCTGGAGTAGTCAATTAGTACTAGAATACATGTATCATTATTATCTAATGATTGCACTATGTCATCTGTTACAGAAGTAAGGGCCGTTGTGCAACTGTATCCGCTTCTAAACCCTGATTGGTTTAAGGGCAAAATATTAAATTTGTTGACATAAGAGGAAATGCGCTTTTCTAAAACCTTTTCAAATAATTGTGAGAAGAATACTAATGCTTCTTAGATTAGAAAATTGAGTAGGGCGCGTATTTTTAGTAATAGGGATAACAAAAGCATGTTTCCATACAGTAGGAAAAAAATTACTATCAATGCAGTTATTAATAATATATGTTAAGTAGGGAACAATAAATGGACAACAGAGTAATAAAATTTCAATATTTATTTGATCAAAGCCAACCGCTTTTGTTTTAATATTTTTTAATATATGGAACAATTCTTCCTGTGTAGTATGGGTAAATAAAAGAGTATATTCCACAGTTGGTATTACATTATTTTTGTAGTATTCTATAATATTTTTGTCTGGTTTACGATCATCCCTGGAATCATTAACAAAAAAATGATTCAACTCATTGGGATTACTTAACGCAGGTGGCAATGATTATTTATTAATATTTTTAACATCTAGTTTTTTAAAAATTTCCATATTTCCTTCGTATTGCAATTAGAGAGTTTAAACTCCATGTATGCCTTCTTTTCTCGTTTTGTGTCAGCTGAGGTATAGTTCCTTAATTCTTTATCGTACTCCCAATGTGCTGGATATTTCGATTTTTTTAATTTTTTTAATGCTTTGTCCCTAAGTTTTTGCATGATCTTGATGTTATCGGTTATCCAGGGTTGATTTTTGAATTTTACCTTTGATAGTTTTTAGAGGAGCATGTTGGTCTACCAAGTTTAATATATTAGTATTAAGATATGCTATTTTCTCATCTATATTTTCAATGTGATAAATTTCATCCCAATCATGTCTTTCTAAATCTCTAATAAAATCATTTACGTTTACTCTAGCTAAATTACGACACATCTGTTTCTTTAATAAAGGTTTTTGTGCATTAGTTTCAAATTCACATTGTATTAAAAAATGACGACCTATACCAGGGGTGGGATTCCGTTCTGTGTCGAGTAACTCGATCTCGATACGATTCATAATTCGATCGAATTATGAAAAGCCTATAGTCTATCTGTTTTGACTTCGGAAATCTTCGACTCTGATTTTATATAATTGCAATACCGTTCAACGAAATTCGACAATAAACTCGATCAAATAACTCGATAGCTCTAGAGTAGTCGATTCGATATCAAATCATTAAAGTTGAATTTTTTTGACATTAGGTATGAACCTTTTCTGCAGCAATGTGCCTTTTCTAAATAACCTCTCCTTGCATTAAGGGCCTTACTGTCTCTATTAAGTATATACGGGGTCATTACTATTTTATAGGGACATTATCTGTAACTTGTCGAGGGTGGGTAACTCATGACATTTAGGCATCACTAGGCCCATTGTCCATCCTCCCAATTAGATAGGTACCTACTAGCTTGTGAGTCAGGGACAGTATTTAGTTTGACAGAAATGTCACTTAGTTAAAATTTTAAAAATTATAGTAGTTGGGTGATCCAAATATGAACTGAGATTGGGGAATTTCATTTTTTTGCAGTGTTCTCATTACCTAGAATGGATATAAAATATATTCGTTTAGTTAAACGCAATAGCGTAATTTTTCATTTTGCAGTCTGTGCGTAGATAACCTAATATCCATGTGGGCGTAGAAAAAATTATTTTTTTTATCAAAATATTGATTTAATCTTATTTAACTAAATTCAGTAAGCTAAAAGATTAATTTTATCTCGGATTTGATATTTTATTTCACTGAAAACAGTAAATCCAAAGACAGATTTAATCTTTTAAGTATATTTTTTGAACGACAGATTTTTAATATTTTATTTTACTAAAATATTTAAGACAAAAGACTGATATTATCTTGTATTTCACTGAAATCTGTACGATTTTTAATCTAATTTATAATGAATCGAAAAATATTAAATAATTTTTTTATTTCGCTGAAATCTATCTTTATTTTAATCCGATTAATAATTTGATATTTCCGATTGACTCAATAATAATTTATAGAATCTAGCAGAAGTAGAAAAGTTATTAATTTAATTTCATATTTTCTTAAAATGAACCGAATATTTGTTTGTCAGTATTTATATGATTAAAATGATCCTTGTGGGAATAAAAATAGTAAAACATTAGTTAAACTCTGCAACTTTTAAAGACCAATTTTAATAACCTGTTATAAAATAAACTATCACAGCGATATACAGGCTTAACCCGTGAGTGTATCACGCCATATAAAAAACAGGGCCGAAATCAGACCCATGACTATTCGTGGACTGTGCCAATAAACAAAAGGCATTTCTTTATAAGCTTACTACAACATACTTGGTTACAGTATTGTGGTTACTGTGGTGACATTACGCATACCATGGTTTCCCTATTATTGAATGTCATATGTCAAATTTAATTTAAGTTTGGGGATTTCTAAACGGAATTTGAATTTTAGAAATTTTAGGATGTTTTGATTTTGTTATTTTTTATTATAGTATGTTCTAGTAAGCTTATAAATAAATGCCTCGTTAGATGTAGCTACATATACTTTGGTAACATGTAACCAAAGCAGAGTAACCAAACGTTATAAAGAAATGCTCTGGTTACAGTAGTATGTTCTGGTAAGCTTATAAAGAAATGCCTAAAGTTTGAATACCTGTGTGATCCATAAGGCCGGGTCGCGTATTTCCATAGTGTACTATTGTGTAGAGCACGCCTTTGTCTGTACCGTAGTAGGCTATGTAATATCA